AAGGAATCTTCTATCATAAAAATAACTAGACCAAGAGAAATGTGTTCTGTTCCTATCCCTGCCTCCTTGCTGCTGCCCACAGCCAGCTCCATCCCTGAGAGCCCACCAGAAGTAAACTCCTATCTTTTTATTAGAGCAATTGGTCAAATCCATTTATTTCTATTATTCTATCTCTGACTTGGAAAGCTTAGTCTTCTCACCTAACACTTTCTTCCAGTTCCACACTGCTCTTCAAATTCTGATTCTGCTTTGAACCAGCTAGATGTAATGTCTGTACTTGACCTACTGCTGATTCCAATTTGACTTTCTGTTCTCAAATAGTTTTGATTTGTATACACCAAATCTTTCGCAAGGCCCTTAATTGTGCTGACAGAGAGTTACACAGAATACAAAACTATGATCTCAATTTCGCTTGAAAGCACTGAGTTGAAATGGAGCCTACGTTAAATGATTTAAAAGGTTAAAGTTGCAAGGTTAGTGGTTACAAGAAGATGGTCCGGTGGGCCGCTCCGTATGTCCCCAGTCTATGGGACTCGGGGAGATGGGGCCACATCCTGTATCTCAGGCCTCTTTCAGGCTGTCCTTTCTGTATCTTGTTGGCTTCTTGCGTTGTTTTGTTTTGAGAGTTTAAAAATATTTGTTTTTATTCAGTAGTTGTAAGAAGGGGCTTCCATTCCAAAAGTCAGATTATGAGTGCAATGCATCTCAATCAGTGTTTCCCCTGCCATCATTCTCGCCAGCATTCTCATCTCACCCCATACCTAATGTTAAGCAGTTCATTTTTCTTACATAGTGTATATTGAATATATGACTGCTTTTGCTCACCTTTCCTCCCTCCACTCATATACCCCTCTTTTGCTCCTTTTTTGTTTGTTTGTCAGTCATGGGGCTTGAACTCTGGGTCTGAGTGCTCTTTCTCAGCTCTTCAGCTCAAGGCTAGCGCTCTCCCACTTGAGCCACAGTGCCACTTTCGGTTAGTTGGAGGTAAGAGTCTCATGAACTTTCCTGCCTGGGCTGGCTTTGAACCTCAATCCTCAGATCTCAGCCTCCTGAGTAGCTAGGATTACAGGTGTGAGCCACCAGCACTTATTGCTAGTCAATGTGTAATTAGCTAACTTTGAGTCAAGTTCTTGCAGATATCCTATTTCTTTGGTATAATGATTTTATTATTGTAGTGAGAGTGTTTCCAAGTTCTCCAACTTTTGAAGGTCGTTCTTGTCTAGTGTCAAATGGGGTTTCAGTTCACATCTCCATTTCCAAGTTTGCCCTCTTGATTTGGATGGCTGCTGCTAATCATCTCTAACCTTTTACAGTCTCTCTTTTCAATGTTTTTCTTTTTTTTTTTTTTTTGGTCAGTCATGGGGCTTGAACTCTGGGCCTGGGCGCTGTCCCTCAGCTCTTCAGCTCAAGGCGAGCGCTCTACCACTTGAGCTACAGCGCCACTTCCGGTTTTCTGGTGGTTTATTGGAGATAGGAGTCTCACGGTGAAAGACCCCAGACTCCTGGGATACTTTCGTCAATGGGAGGGCGCCCCAGAAACTCAGACTCCAGGCTGGGAGATGCAATAAGCAAGAGGAGTTTATTCAACGTTTGCGCAAACAGACTCTCTGCCCCGGTCAGTCAGAGAGCCCCAAGCGGCGGTTACAAGCCTTCTTTTAAAGGCAAAAACCACAAGATTAACGCATAACACAAAGCATCCCATGATTGGTCCATTTAAAGGTCACCATATACACCAACAATCACTTTGCCACGCGGGAAATTTTGTAACACTCTTTGGAAAATGACTGGCCAATGGTTGGTTAAGGGGGTTTACATGGTTACAGGCCTATGATTGGTTGACATTTGGCTTAGCTTGTGGTCTTGCCAGGTGGTCGTTATCTCAAGGTCCTGTCTGGGGAATTTCTAAATGGGAACTGAGGAACACGTACTGTCTGTTCTTTATCTACGACCACTGACCTTGTCCTGGGGCCGACATCTGGGCTCTGAGACTTTACCCAATTCCTTATTTCTAGGGAGGGGGTTGGTGTTAGCGCAAGCAAGCAAGTTTACAGAAGCAGAGTCAGCAGTTAGTAAATTGTAAAGTGGATGCAGCCCTAATTTTTCTAATTCTTCAACGGTCTCTCCTGCCTGGGCTGGCTTTGAACCGAGATCCTCAGATCTCAGCCTCCTGAGTAGGTAGGATTACAGGCGTGAGCCACCAGCGCCGGCTTCAATGTTTTTCAAATAATCCATTTATTATTTAGGGATTTTAAAAATCATTACTATAAACTATTGGAGTATGAAAAAGGAGGTTTGATTGCTTCGGATTCAAGGCCTGGCACTGGCATTGGCTTGGTTCTGGCAAGCTCTTGGCGCATCATGTTGATATATAGCTATTAGTCACTGGTGATGGGAGAATGCAAAGGGAATCTAAAGTGAAGAGTGAGCTCACAATATCTCTAAGGCAAATGCTGTAATTAAGACTTCCTGGGTCTGGGACACGCCTCCTTCCTGGAAGCCGCTAGGACTGCAGGAAAAAATTGGAAACTTTTGTCTTTCCCCAGAAAATGTAGCTGAGATTGTGATTCATATTTGCAATAAGTTGTTAACAGGAGCTGATGGGAAAAACCTCTGTAATGACCTTTATCCAAAACCAAAGCCTGAAGGCTTGCATATGATCTACGTGAGAGCCTTACAAATTGTTTATGGAATACGAGTGGAACATTTTTACATGATGCCGTGAACTCTGAAGTCATGTATCCACATATAACGGAAGGCTTTTACCAGTCAGAAATTTACTTATTCATCTGGACTCGTTTTGCCCATCTGTGGGGTGAATAACTTTGAGATTGCTAATATTCTCCATCCAAATGCAAAACAGACAAGTTGGTTTTTAAGTGGCATTATTAACTTCATTCACTTCAGAGAAGAATGTCGTAGCACCTATATGGAGTTTCTCAAGCAATATAAAACCTCTGTGGACAAAATACAGCAGTTGAATATTGCACACCAGGAGGCACTGATGAAACTGGAGAGACTTGAGTACGTGGGAGATTGACAAATCCAATGAATGTTATTTCAAACTGCAAAATGGATTGTGAGTGGTATTTACAAGTCTACAAATCTATTTTAAGTCCCTTTTATTTTCCTTAAATGTCAGACTATATTTAAGTTTGCCCTTTCTAATAAAGAAAAAAAACCAGATTTGGGGGGCTGGGAATGTGGCTTTGTGGAGAGCTTGCCTAGCATGCATAAAGCCCTGGGTTCCATTCCTCAGTACCACATACATGGAAAAAGCTGGAAATGGTGCTGTGGCTCAAGTGGTAGAGCGCTACCCTTGAGCAAAAGAAGCTCAGGGACAGTGTCCAGGCTCTGAGTTCAAGCCCCAGGACTAGCAATAAACAAAAACACAAGAAGACTTCCTGACTCCCAGGTGACCTTATCCCTGTTGATTGGCTTGAGGGATAAGAATTTCTCACAGACATCCTCAAAAAGTATTCAAAGCACAAGGGCCAATGCTGTGGTTCTCATTCTAAAGGCAACTGACTTTCAGTGTATTGGAAGTACATTTGTAACAGGTCCTTAAAATGTTTTTGCTGTCATGAATTAACTAAAAATAGGAAGAAAAAGCTGATATCTGCTTCTGTTTTGCATTTTTTTTATAGTTGTAAGCCTTTCTCTCCACAGATACTTTGCAATCACCTTGGGTTCCAAGAAAGACAGGATAACCAATAACATCTTTATGATAAAAGACTAAAACTACCACTAAGGAACAGTTGATAATTACTAACACTGGTGAGGCTTCACCCTCCAGTGTGAGAAATCATCTCATGGAAAACGGACTGCTCCCCCTCCAGTGATGACAGCAGTAACAACTTCTCCAGAATCCAAAACGGTTAAGTATTTTGGCCAGCCAGGCCATACCTGTAATAAGGACTTTTGATGTATGCATACCATTGTCATCTGCTTCTATGTTTTTCTACTTAAACCTAATGCTTCTGTCTATTGGGAAAACACCTGAGGATGAATTAAAATGCTGTTTTCCTGTGACATCATGGCACATAACCTTTATCTGCCATATTTCTTCCTAATAAATTTCACTATGGTCAAATTGTGCTCGAATTCTTCTCTGGCAAACACAAGGAATCAAACTAATGAGCTGTGTGACTTTCCAGTAACATCATGGTTGTGTGTGACAGAGCAAGTTATCATATCCCAAGACACAAGGTGAAAGAACAGGGTGGGGCCCGGGTCTCTGGTGATGAAAATGTTGTGTCTTGACTATGTCCATTTTGCTATTCTGGTTGTGATATTGTATATGGTGTCGCTGGAAACTGGGTAAATACATCAAATTTGTCTGCTTACAACTCAATATGAATCCATAATATGCTCAAAACAGTTTTAATTTTACAAAAAAGTCAACAGCATTTTGTTGTACATAATTATATGTCCTTTTATTTTGAAAGTCAACTGTATTTCGAATTGGTGTGCTTCATTATATTTGAATGTGCAGTTTCAACGATTCCTATCATTTCTTTCCTCTCAATTTTTTTTTTTTTAAGAAGGGAAGAAAAGAAGGAAAGAAAATGTTCATTGAACTCCAGATCCTACTTTGGCTTTCCTGAATGCTGGTATCACTGATGTGCACCCCCATAACAAATCCACAAGGAAAAGAAATACACCACTTTCTGGTTGCAATCTTTTTGTGATCGCAATCGTCGACGATACGCATTTCCCGTCACAGGCAGAGAGAAGAACACACCAGGCTGCGGGAGGCCACCACCGCAATCGCCCTCCCGACTGCGCCGCAAACGGAGCATGGCCCCAGGTTGGTGGGCTGTTGCTGGGTGCGCATGCGCTTGGTGGAACAGCACCGGGGGGAGCCTTTGGGTTAGTCAGGGCGCTAACGACGCGCAGGTGCCTCGTAGCCTGTGCTCCAAGGGCTTACTGCGCAGGCGTGCACGCAGAGCAGGCGCTAACTATCGCACGCCGTGGGCCTGGCGCACGCACGCGCGCGCGCGGGTGCTGACTCCGTGACTCCGCCATGGCTGAGGCGTCTCGGTGGCACAGAGGAGGTCAGATGGGCTCATTTGGCAGTTATAGATAGCCAGGAAGGAATTCTTTTTTCCTTCGGAGACCGGGACTTGAACTTGTTACCTGACGCTTCCACTCCTTGGCGAACGCCACGCCTCCCCCGGGAGGGACTCTTTGGCCCCAAATGTCCGCTCACGTGGAGGGGACGCTCTCAGCCCTCACGACCTCCCTCGGAGAAGCCGTGAGGGCCGGGGGGGGGGTGAGTTTCCGCGGAAGGGCTCGCCCCTGGCCGGAGGCGGCCGCGGCCCCGGCCCCGGCTAGGCCTGTGTCCCCGGAGCCCCCGCCTTGCCCAGAAGATAGCGGTTAACCCCCCCCCCCCGACGGTTCTCGGTTGTAATTGTTACTTGGGGCGGGACCGGTAAGGAAGCGTTTGAGTTATCAAAACCTGTTCGTTTGCAGTTATAAAATAATTGCCCGTTGGGCTGGGAAAGTGGCTCAGTGGTAGAGCGCTTGCCTTGCATGCATGAGACCCTGGGTTCGATTCCTCAGCACCACATAAGCAAAAAGAAAAAAGCCGGAAGTGGCGCTGTGGCTCAAGTGGTAGAGCGCTAGCCTTGAGCTGAAGAGCTGAGGGACAGCGCCCAGGCCCAGAGTTCAGGCCCCACGACCAGACCCAAAAAATAATAATAATAATTGCCCGCTTCCCTATAGGAAAACTTAGTAGTTACCCTGCCTCGTGAAAGTGAGAATCGAGAAAGAACCAGAAAGACGTTGGAACCTGTCTTCGCATGTCTCACAACTAAAAGTGGTTGTTTCTTTGTGACCTGTATATAATGATCATTGCATACTAAGGTGATAAATTTTTTTTGTCTTTCATCTTTCAGGTACTTCAATACATAATCTGCATTACAGAAAGGAAGTACAAATTACCACCACACTTCAGGAGTTGTTACTGTACTTTATTTTTTTAATAAATCTGTGTATCTGTAAGTATCTAGATGTAGACAAAGATGTTGGGGATTTGAGCTAGAAGCTAAAATATGGAAATGCAAAAAAAAAAACTCCCCATGTGGTATATATTACTAAAATTTCCCAGGTGACACATTTTATACCCATTAGCCTATGATTAACAATTATTTCCAGGTGTTGGGTTTGGGTTTTGTTTTGTGTGTGTGTGTGTGCCAGTCCCTGGGACTTGAACTTGGGATCTTGGAGCTGTCCCTGAGCTTTTCTACTCAAGGCTAGTGCTCTACTTCCTGAGCCACAGCTCTACTTTCAGCTTTTGGGTACTTAATTGGATATAATAGTCTCATGGATTTTCTTGCCCTGGCTGACTTCAAACCATAATCCTTACATCTCAGCCTTCTAGTAGCTAGGATTACAGGTGTGAGTCACAGCTGCCCAACTTCATTTTGTTTGTTTGTTGGTCGTGGGGCTTGAACTCTAGGCCTGAGTACTGTCCCTCACTCAAGGCAAGTGCTCTACCACTTGAGCCACAGCACCACTTTGTTTTCTGAGTGGTTAATTGGAGATAAGTCTCACTGACTTTCTTGCCTGGACTGGCTTTGAACCACAATCCTCAGATCTCAGCCTCCTGTGTAGCTAGGATTACAGGCGTGAGCCACCACAGCCAGGCATAGCAAAAACTTGAGGGTCATAGGTATTATAAAGAGCTCCACAGTCAACGTTGCATGTAATTATTTCTATTGTTTAATGTATCTATTTGAAATAATTCCTTGGGATGATGATTTGTAATGTGTCTATTTCCCTCTGAAAGAAATCAAGACTAACTCAGTTTCACAAAGCAAAGTGCAAATGGGACCAAACATTAAAATTCAATGTGTGCCATTAGCTGCTTCTTTTCACTGGCCTGGTGCACAGTGAATAGTGCCTTGCTGAATCAATGGAAACTTTTATGGAAGACTGAGAAAACTTTTCAACCTGAATTCCTGCTCTGTGCCACTGGCATTCACTATTTAATATGTGAAGGGTATATTAATGAGCTTTTTCTCCTTGAAGTTCCCAACATGCATTCACTGTAAAGCTCACTTTCAGGATTTCTTTCTTGTCTTCATGGCATGTGCTACACATGGGTAGTTGTACTAATTAATTAGTGCTGCAGAAGTAAGTTTGTCATCTTAAAGACAACTATGGCTCACCCCTATAATCCTAGGGATTCAGGAGGCTGGGATCTGAGGATTATAGTTGAAAACCAGCCAGGTGGAAAATTCCTCATGAGACTCTTACCTCCAATTAACCACTCAGAAACTGGAAGTGGAGCTGTGACTCAAAGTGGTAGAGCACTAGCCTTGAGTAAAAGAGCTCAGGGATAGTGCCCAGGCCCTGACAACTGACAAAACAACACTGTAACCAATTGTAATTAAGCTATCCTATGTTTATAAAAGTTTACTTGGGAGAAGAGGAGACACTAGTGGCTCAAACCTGTAGTCCTAGCTATCAGGACATTAGAGATCCTGAGCTCTGAGGATTGTGGTTCCCAGTCAGCTCAGATAGGCCAATTTGAGACTCTTGCTTCCGTTTAAACAGTAAAAAGCTAGAAGGTAAAGTATGGCTCAAATGCTAGAGTGAAAAAAAACTAATCAAGAAAGAAGCTTTGAGGTCAAGCCCCAGTGCTGGCATATACATACAACCTTACTTACAAAAATAATACATGCTTATTATAGAACATCCAGAAAATGAAAAAAAAAACACAAAAATGTTCTTAAGCCCACTACTCAGAAATATTTTAACACTTCTTATAACATAGAATTGGCAATAACTTGAAATATCCCTCAGTAAGATTTAACATTGTGGTAAATACACTGAAATAAATGTGATTGTTAGAGAATGGTATAGGTGCGTGTATATCATAGAATGATGAAGATGCATGTTTGTTTTTTTAAGTGTCTGAAAAAAAGTTAAGGTAATATACCTTTCTAAAATTCACAAACCCTGGGCTGGGAAGGTGGCTCAGTGGTAGAGCGCTTGCCTTGCATGCATGAGGCCCTGGGTT